CTTGTAAGTGAAAATACAATCTTTGATTTAGTCTATACATTTGTCCTTATTAGATACAGTTCCTGTTTTGTTCTTAGAGACTCATTTCAAATAGTAGATGTTCAAGTATCACATGAAAGATTTAATAGATTCACTTTGATCGAATAGTGAATTGTGGTGGCAGCCACTTCATGTTGAATATATGAAAAAGGAAGAACATTTTAGCTGTACTTTAAACTTCAATTTCTTCCTACCAAAATAACCAGAGATATATTCATTGATCATAGAGAACAATGACAACAAAAAGCTATAGCAATGTAAAGAACGAACAAACCCCATGCTGAAAGTTTTACTAAAGTTGTACAGTGTAAACCTACAGCTCACATGTGGGATATGTGGGTCACACAAGCAGGATTGGTGTTCCCGTAACATTACAACGTGGTATTCTCCCCCTCGGATTCACTCTGGATCCTTCTCTAAGAAGCTATTTTCTACAGATTGCAGCTACATGATTTCCCGATCTTCTGACTGTCAAGAAAGCAGTTGGAAGAGGAGGAAACAGTGGGGTATTTTTTTCCCTGAGCACTTCCTTGCTGAACCCTACCTTGGAAAAAATCTATGTTCCTCTACCTGTAGTATGGCTTCTGTTTAGTGGTTTCTTCCAATTCTAGGACAGTTAATTCTAGCTATGACTTCAGTTTGTAGATATGTATGCTAAATGACATTTGCTATGCATGTAAATTCTGAGGTTATGTTTATATAGCTTCAGTCTTCAGGCTAATTATTATGACTAGTAAACATCCTCAGGCAGGAATAACAATTAATGTTCTTATAAACAGCATATTTACACTCTTAATCTCAAAAGTAAAATTGTTAATTGCTAATTACAGCCTTTTATCCTCACTGGAAATTTTAGAAAAAGAAAATACTTGCTAAGTTTAGTTTCTTAATATGAAATGCAAGACAATATTCAAGCATTTCTGAAACATAATTATATTTGCACTATTACTTCCATATTAATTATTAGCTATGGGGCAAAACATTAAATCAAATATAATATAAATTTGACAGCTAATCTTTGCTAGTACAAGTGTTTGCCAGTGCTTAGTCTTTGCCTGTGGTATATATAATTATATACCACATAAAACAGGAATAATAAATAACCAAAGAAAGTATATTTAATTAATTAGAATGGTATTTTGGTCTCTAACCACAGATTGACTGGTCCACTGCTAGAATAAACATTTTCTGAAAACTATTGTTTCAGGGCTGTGTTTATTACTGGGGAAAGTTCAGAAGATTTCATGAGAATCACACTCTGGAATCTAGAAGATTCCTTGACAAATGTCACAAGCAGAGTTAAGTGTTAACTGGAAATAATAACAATGAATGTTTAGATCTCTTAGTTCTGATTCAGTCTTTCTTGTCACAAAACTTCATTCCAGTGATCAGTAACTCACTACAGAGCCAACCAGATATTATTATAACCCGTGAGAAATGGAGTTACCATGTATTTTCAACAAATAGTTCATTTTTACCTTAGATAATCAGTAAGGTTTCAGGCTCTTTAAAAGAAGTTATGAATAGTCAATAAATAAAAGTACAACACTATCCACCCTATGGTATTTCACTTCGGAATCTATTTTATAGCCAGTCTTCATATTTTGGGATGATGCTGTAAGAATCCAAGCTAGATGCTTCACTTCGTTGCTTGCTACAAACTTTAATAATAATGTGTCTGTGAGTCACAAGTCTGTTGGAAGACTATGTGTCATAAAGTCTCACCTCCTAAATTCATTCTAAACCCAGAAGCTAAATTCAGCACAGTTTGTAGATTTCTAGACTTTTTTGGAGTATGCTGAAGAGATTTGAGGAAATAAGAATAGAATACAAAATAAATGTTCTAGGTTTAGACTGGCAATTCTTAGATGGATTAATATGTCAAGTGAAAGATGTAAGAAGAGGATGACTAAAAAATTTTGGCTCTGTTAAATAGAACTAGGATATTAATGGATGATACAATTAATTATTTATGACTCAGAAGAGGCCAAGAATTGGAAACAAGAAGTTTTTCTTTGTTGTTATTTTTAATGTACTATGTGATTTCCTTTTTCATTTGTGTATTTTTTTATGGTTTATTCCCTGTTGTCACTGTATTTGATTTGGGTATCTTGGGTATTATATATACATTTATCTGAATTAGGGAAGGGAAGGAGAACAGCAAAATGGTGAGACAAAGGACAAAAAGCGAACCAATGCAACAGCAATACTCAGAAGACAATATGTTGGAAGTGATCTGTACAACTTGTGGAGAGGGGATTACAGGGGAAAAGGGAAAAGTGGAAAAATAATGAGGGAAGGTGTAACAAGTTCGGCAGGAAATGTACTGCCTCACACATGTAACTGTCACCCCTCTGTATGTCATCTTGACAATAAAATTAAATGATAAAAAATAGATAGATACAGCTTTGCTAGACTGCTTACTTCTAATCAAGAGAAATGGGAATTGTTTTAAATGTCATGAGATAACTAATGATAACATTTTTATAAATGTTTTTGTTATTTATTTTTCTAAGAATCACAAAAATAACTATCATCCAGTCTCATCCAGCTTCAGATAATACAATTGGAAGCCTGGAATTTATCAATAAATGTGTAAATAAAGAAATAAGGAACATTTATTTAGGCAATATTCATTCAATCAGTTTCAAGTTCTTGACAATTTCTTCACTAGATTCCTTCAGATTTATGCAACATGCTCCTCCCCTTGAGCTCAACCAGACAAACATGATGTAAAATTGTTTATCCTTTTGATATTTACTCCCTTACCATCTCTGATTGAGATACTAGCAGGGTGAACCCAATTTTGTCCATCTGATTTAATATCAGCTTGGCTTAGCTTCAAGTTGATTCTGTGCTTCCTGGTAGCAAGATGAAAGGAACCTTAGAATAAATTACACTGTTTTCATGTTTCTTTGGTTTTTTTTTTTCCCCCAAAGAAATCTACAACTAAGCTCTTTGGTAGAACACGTTTTTCCTAATACAACTTCTAAAATTATAACTCTTCTTATTGGGTTTTTAATTAAGGACATTTATATTTTCTTTCTGTAGCATTGAGGAAATTTAGTGCCATTTCACTGTTTTACCTTTGGTGATAAGGATAGAAGCCCAGGACTTGTCATGTTAAGAATTTGCTCTACCACTGAGCTACACTCACATCCACCATTTTAACTTTCTACTAGTTCTGAGTTCCCTGGAGAAAAGAAAAAACATACTGCAATATCTCTTTGTCATCTCTGAAACACAAAGCTATTTGAATATTTCCTTTATTATGCTGTATTAGATTTTCATTAACAGAGAACTCTTACAAATAAGTTTTGAGTTTTGAGCAAGATCACACTGTGCTAAATAATGGAGTAGAGGAGTGCATCAAACAGCTTGACTTCTGCTGACTTTTACTTAAGGGGGTGAAGCATTTTAAATTAGACAATGTTAGTATCGATGAAACATGCAGAGGAGGGGAAATAATTTAAAGGCTTCATTCCATTTAGAGAGTTAGATAAATTGATTTAAAAATAAAGCACTATTACCTGGAAATTAAAAAAAATGATTCTTGTATGGTCATGGAGAGAGTAGAAATCGGGGCAATCATTTTAGAAGGCAATTTGGTAATGGCTAACAAATTTACAATGGTAGACCTCATGACCTAAGAATTATGCCTGTTGAGAAGATAAACTTGTAAAGGAAGTACATCAAAATAAACACATAAGAGTATTCTTTACAGTGGGAAAGAAAAAGCTTACAAAAGGAATCTAGATATATAACAAAAGAGAGTATAGCTAAAGCAAATGTTCACTCATTTAGTAGAACATCCTAAGCTTCTTCAAATTGTGTATGTGCTAATTCTAAATTCAGTGATGTGAGAGATGGATTCAAAGGGAAATAAGTCAGACATAATACTATTATTATGTCTCTTTGGTATAATCTTAAAAACAGACATATACACTCTTAGGTTTGTGTAAATACATACATATATATATATATATATATATGTCAATTGATCAATTTACATATTTTTAAAAGCAGATGCAGCTGATCTATTGGGATGACCTAGATGTTAAAAGTTGATACATAACTCTTGGTTTCTTGTGGGGTGTGTTACTAGGTAATAGTGAATATGAAGGTGCTTTTCTTTTTCTCATAGATTTCTATAAAACATTTCTAACCAACTATATGCCATACTTTTACTTGACCCTATCAGGGCAGCTGTTCTTTAAGAAGTTGGTATTAATATTTTATGAAATATTTAAAGACATAGTAAGATACTAAGGTAATGAGGCATAACAAACAAGAATTTTCAGGACATCAATCTAAATTTTCATGTAGTATTTAAAGCATAAACAAGGATCAATATCCTGGCCACTTTCCTTTTAATTGATAGTGTATCTCCTTAGCTGTGTGAATGATAGGTCAACTTGGTGATGGATGGAGATGGATATTTACAATCAGCTTTCACAATTGTTTTCCTAGATCGTGGTAAAGAATACACTACAAAACAAAGCTCCTAGCTGGGTGCTGGTGGCTCATGCCTGTAATCCTAGCTACTCAGGAGGCTGAGATCTGAGGATTACGGTTCAAAGCCAGCTCGGGCAGGAATCTCCCTGAGACTCCTTTACGGTTCAAAGCCACCTCGGGCAGGAATCTCCCTGAGACTCCATCTCCAATAAACCACTAGAAAACTGGAAGTGGCGCTGTGGCTCAAGTGGTAGAGTGCTCACCTTGAACTGAGGAGCTGAGGAACAGTGCCCAGGCCCAGAGTTCAAGCCCCACGACTGACAAAAAAAACCCACAAAACAAACAAACAAAGCTTCTCTGGACATGCATTCATACTTAAATCCAAACTGGATTCAGAATGGAGGGGAAAATGGGAGTGAATTTCCCATAGACCACATAACTGAACAGAATATCCTCTAGTTTGAAGGCCATGACTGACTACCTTCTGCACTTACTTTTTATTTTAGAACTGAAACTTCCTGTGAATCCCTCTGTGTGTGCAGATCCTCGAATGCAATTACAGCCCAATAATTCCAGTCACGTGTTAAAATCACTGAAGACGTATATTTGGAAAACATGGGACTGGCGGCGTGAGCAGCTGTAAGCCATTCATTTCGAACTGTTCTAGCTGGCTGGTATCGTTCTATCTGGTATGCATTTCAGGAGACTAGAAAAAAAAATAGAAAGCAGATCTGGGAGATTGGGATGGGGGTTCAGGCTTGAATTTAGCTACTTAAAAGTTCAGTATCCCTCCTTAATAAAAAGTACCATTATTGACTTTATTCTAGACTAATTTAAATTTCTCCTGAAATAGTATAAAGATTTGAGTAAATTAGACTGTTACCTAGTAAGTTACATTAACATAAATTGAATTTAAAAGCTTAACAATGTGAGACTATAAAGTTTTAACTTCTACTTTATCCTCACCTGGCATCTCCTTAGTCTATGAACTTGGATGAATGAAATTTTTTCTATTAATTTTTTTATTGCTCTCAGCATCTAAGAATGAAGATGTCCAATATACCTCCAGGAAAGTGATTTTTAAGATGTAGGTAAATTATAGGGAAAACTAGAGCTTTTAATTTTCATATCTAAGACATAAATGAATTTTCTTCACCTAATTTTATAGTTATTAGCTAGTATTTCAGAAGTTAATAGTATGTGAAAAATCACATTCAGTTTGTGCTTATGTAGACTTCAAAAGTTAAAATACAACAATCTTTACCACCCATCAAATTAGATCAAAAGATGGCAGACTTTTGATGGAATTGTTATATTTTTGACACAAATACTATATTTTGACACAAGTGTATTTTATTTTTGATTGTATATATAATTTGCATATAGAAATATGCTATAGAAAAACAAATGTAGATTTTGGTATTATGCATAATGAAAGCCTATTTTGTTTCACTACAATACACAGTCTTTCCCAGAGTAAATTGTTTTAAGATTTTATTTTATTTACAAGAGTGAGGGGTATTATGTAGCCTCCAACAAGTGAAGGGTGTGTTTTTGTGTCTTCTTAGAGGCCTGGGCACTAATATAAATCTTCACATCTTTTCTTATAGAGGAAAATACAGAGCAGAGTTAGACATGTGGGAAAAAGGAAATTTTCAGAAAATATTTACTGTAATTTATATCACTTCTGTTGTAACCAAACTATCAATCTAAGGTTATGTATATTATGGCTATTGGACTTTTAAAAATATTTTTTTGATTTTTTAATGAAAATATATTTTTATTATTAATAAGCTTTTTCATTGTGAAAATATGGTACAGAGGGGTTACAATTACATGAGCAAGGTAATTTCTTATCAAGCATTGTTGCCGCCTTTGTTTTTCCCTTACCATCCCTGCCCTCCCATCTCCACAACTACACTCCCTCCACCCCTCCCCACCAAAGTTGTAAAGTTCGGTTTTCAGGATAGCATCTTGTACATTTCATTGTTGCAATGGATCCAGCTGTATCCCTATTTAAACAATTTGTTTTTTCCCTTCCCCTCCCCAAATTATACCAATCTCAAATACAGTGAAAACAGGGCTATCCCATGGGCCATGGGGGAGGGACATACAAAGCAACAAAAAAAAATCACATAGTACATTATAAATACATTAGAAACAATAGCAAGAAAAGAAAACCACTTGAGTCCTTATCCTGGGGTTTATTCGCCTAACATCAACTTATCCTACCTTTTCTGTTTGTCTCAGACATATACTAGATATTGCAAATAAGGGAAACCATGGGACCTATGTTTCTTTGGGCCTGGCTTACTTCACTTAATATAATTTTTTCCAAGTAGTTCCATTTCCTAACAAATGGGGCAATGTCATTCTTTCTGATGGAGGCATAGAATTCCATTGTGTATATATACCACATTTTCTTGATCCATTCATCTACTGAGGGGCATCTGGATTGCTTTCATATCTTAGCTATGGTAAATAATTCTGCAATAAACATAGTTGTTCTGGTAGTTTTAGTGTGGTCTTGTTTGTGATCATCTGGGTAAATGCCCAAAAGTGGGATTGCTGGGTCATAGGGGAGCTCTATGTGGAGTCTTTTGAGGAAACTCCATACTGCTTTCCAAAGTGGTTGAAAAAGTTTATACTCCCACCAACAATGCAGTAGTGTTCCCTTCTGTCCACATCCCCTCCAACATCTGTTATTGTTAGAGTTCTTGATTATAGCCATTCTAACTGGGGTAAGGTGGTATCTCAATGCTGTTTTGATTTGCATTTCTTTTATGACTAGGGAGGTTGAGCATTTCTTCCTGTGTCTATTGGCCATCCCTCTTTCCTCTTCAGAGAAGTTTCTCTTTAAATCTTTAGCCCACTTATTTATTGGACAGTTGTTTCTTTGAGGTTTTGTTGTTGGGGGATTTAATTTTTTGAGTTCCAGGTATATTTTAGATATGAGACCCTTGTCCATTGTATGGCTAGTGAAGATCTTCTCCCAATCAGTGGGCTTGGCTTTCTATTGATCTTGCTAGTTATTTCCTTTGCCAGGCAGAAGCTCTGCAACTTCATGCAATCCCATTTGTCCAACCTTTCTTTGATTTGTTGTATTTCTGGTCTCTATTAAGAAAATTTGGCCTGTGCCAAGGTGACCTGGGGTTTCTCCTATTCCTTCTTGTAATGTTTTCAGGGTGCCTGCTTTGACTGTCTTTAATTCTCTTCCTCTTGTCCCTGTTCACCCCCTAGTGGTGACACTAATAATTTGTAGAAAATGTTAAAGGAAACCAACACACTGAGGGCTGGATCCATCCAACAAAGTATAGAAGGGCTTTACAAAGCTTTTAGGTAATTTATACATTGTGTATCAATCCCAAATTATGGAAGACTAAAAATGCTATTTTATTTTTCTTTTAGGAAGCAAACAAGAGACCTTGCTCCACAGGAAATAATCGTTAGAGCTGAAGAACTATCTGTGATTCTCAAAGCATACGTATTAGTAACGTCCTTAACCCCTTTGCGTGCTTTTATTCACTCAACTGGCACAGTGTGGAGTCCACCAAAGAAAAAACGCTTCACTGTCAAGGTAAAGACGCCATTATTTCACATAAAGTACGCTGGAGATCAGTAAAGTGACTTGGGCTGCCATTTTCTGACCTTTCTGGTTATCAAATCCCTTTGAATAAAGATTGCATCTTTTTATTGCAGCAAGCAGAGATTTTCATTTAATAAGTTCAGGTTCAAAAATGAACTGGAAATATCTCAGTTCATTCAGGATCACAAAAGCTGTATTGTGCCCCCCCCCAACTCAACATTTTAGTTCTATCTGTTGACCTATTAGAGCTAATTCTTGTGGCTATACTATGGATTTTTTTCTTTCTGATTTTCCATTTATATAAGAAAAATTTAATCAATGCAACAAATGAAAGCATAATTCCCCCTTATGCTTTTTTGCTTCATCTTTAGGAAGCATAATGCCTATTTCATTACACCATTCAATATGGAATATTTGCTGAGCGAAAAATAAAGGTCTGGAGTGTGCCTCATATAGCATGACCTGGCATAAAGGAAAATGACCAAGTTTTCAGAGAACAGCTCAATAATAGCTCAGAAAAGTTTAGTTATAAACTCAGGTTAACTCAGGTGAGGATTAAGTTCTCATGACAACACAGAGGATAGAATTTAGGAAGCTTTGATTTTAGAGAATTCACTGTTCAGCAGACACAGGGAAAATGGTAAGAAACACAATGCACAGTGGCCCACATGGTATCAAGAGATTCAAGAATGTCTCAATTTGATTTCTTTGAATTCTTACATGAATTGCATTTTCAACTCTGGAAACCATTCCAGGAATGAAAAAAAAGTGAAAGACCTATTTAAGCACTGTTAGCTAAAAGATAATAGATAGGTTAACAGAGGTAGGTGTTATATAACATAATAAAATAGACAGCTCACATCTTAAGGAAATTGTATTGATGATGTGGGTTCTTACAGTTTTTTTATCTTAAAAACAATAGGTCCCATGGTTTCCTTTATTTGCAATAATTAGTACACATATAAGATAATCTTATCAGATGAGCTGAAAAACTCAAAAGTCATGTACAAATGACCATATAAGATGATGCTAAATGAAATGAACCCCAAAATATGGACACAAGAGGTCTGTCTTTATTGTTACTGTTTTACATGTGCGATGTGATTTTATTATTATTTTGTTGTTGTTTCCTTTGTATATTCTTTCCCTATTTCCCCTGTTGTCACTGTACTTGATTTTGATACCCTGCATCTTGTTTATACATATGTCTAATCTGGGGAGGGGAAGGGGAATAACAAAACGCTGAAACAAGAACACAGGATGACCCATTGTAACAAAGATACCCACAGGACAGCAGATTGGAAACAAACTTTACAACTTTGGGTGGCTAGCGAGGTAGGGAGGATAGGAATGTGGGAGCTGGGGAAGGGAAGGGGTAGTGGGACAACAAGGAAGGGAAGGGGTAACAATGATCAACAAGAAATGTACTCATGGCCTTACTCATGGAACCATAACCCCTCCGTAAACATCTTAACAATAAAATAAAATAAATCCCTCCCAAACAATCATCTATCTCATTTTTTTAATCAACATCTAAGTTTACAATTAATCTTGACAAGTGGAATTCAATCTGGCATCTTCCTTGTTATCTCCAACAATAGAGTAGCCTTTCACCTTTCCTCAAGAACAGTAATCCCACTTTTTGTTTGCTATTAGGCTAAATTATAGGAAATTGCTGATATTTGGTCAATTGGCAGAAAATATGGTTCAACCTAATGATTAAAACTCACAGGGAGATGAACATCATCATCAACAAATAATTGAGTGTAAATCAAAATCTCTAGTCTTATAGATTATATATGTCTTTCTGTGTGAGAGTCCTCTCATTGTGTCCCCATGTCTTTACTCCATTTTGTTTGTATCCTGAATTTAATTCTTCTTGTCCTCAAAAATCCACCATTACAAGAGTTTTTTTGTGTGTATATAGTTCATATTCTCATAGGAGAGGCATTTTCTTTGTAGTTTCTTTGTTTGTTGTTTTTGCCCATCTTGAGACTTAAAGTCTGGGCACTGTCTGTGAGCTTCTTTGCTCAGAGTTAGCACTCTACTACTTTGAGCCACAGTTCCACTCCCATGTTTTTAAATGTTTATTTTATTGTAAAGATGCTATACAGAGGGGTAACAGTTACATGAGTAAGGTAATGAGCACATTTCTTGTCAAACATTGTTACCCACTCCATTGTTGTTCTCCCACTATCCCTTCCCTCATCCACCTCCCTCATCCCCCCCCCAGCCCCGATGTTGTAAAGTTTGTTTCCAATATAATGTCTTGTCAGTATTATTGTTGCAATGGCTCATCATGTGTCCTTGTTTCAGTATTTTGTTATCCCCCTTTCCCTCCCCAAATTAGACAAATGTATATACAAGATGCAGCATACCAAAATCAAATACAGTGACAACAGGGGGAAGAACATACAAAGGAAACAAAAAAACATCACATAGTACATTAAAAACAACATTCTCTCACACTTAAATCTCAAAAAGTGTTCAGCTTTGATTAATTCTTTGAATATGGAGTCAACCAAGGCTCTCAACAGATAAACCTTATCATGAATATATTACTTTTATCATGTGATGAATGTAAGTTCCTATGCGTTAAGTGAAACTGCCTTTGAGCTCTGCTTTCTTTCCAGTTGGTGTCAATACAGCAATAGAAGCTGTGCCTCTTTAATATTAGTTTAGTTAGTTTTTAAATGCTTATTTTTCATAAATATGTTAGAATACTGTATAGTCTGGATTTCCAGAGAAATAGAATCAATATACTATGTGTATGTGATTATATATACGTATGTCCTTTTATGTACACAAGGAGACTGAACTGATAAGGGGATTTACATATTAGGTTATTGAGGTTTACAGCTCCATGATTGGCCATCTGAAAGACAGGGAACCATGAAAGTTGGCGGTGTAATTCTGTCTGTCAGGAGTCAAAGGTATTAGAGAAGAGACAACAGGGGTCAAATTTAAAAGGGCAGGGACAGTATCCCATGTCAAGAAAAAGGTACAAGCAATTTCCTTCCTATTTGTTTGCTCTGATATGCTTTCTTTTTTTAACCATCTTTTCCTGTTTCTCACCATACAGCTCAAATACACATTTAATGTATATCACGTTCAATGTTCACCATTCGTTTGACATGCATTCATGATTATGTTTATATTTTTCCTTATGTTTTTTTTTCTTTCTTTTATGGAGGGCGGGGAAACAGGTTCTTCCTATATAGTCCAGGCTGGCCTGTGTAACCCAGTCTGATCCTTTTGCCTAAGCTTCCTGAATGCTGGGATTGGAGGAGTGCACCACCAAACCCTGCTCTCTCTCTCTCTCTCTCTCTCTCTCTCTCTCTCTCTCTCTGAAATCATTTATCTTTTCTCTGCTCTCTCCAAGGCTTCTTTTGTCTAGTCTACTTTCCCTGCCCCATTTTCACAATGTAAAGTTTTTATTTCTAGTTGAGATCATTGTTTTTCCGTGTTGCTCCTTTTTTTCATTAAAAAGCAAACTTTATCAAGAAATTAATCATCCTTAAAACATCTTCTTCTACTTGCTTCTGGTGTGAATGATTTTCAATTTTGTACTTGAAGTGTTTAATCTCTGATTTCAAAATTTTTATTAATTAGTTAATTAATTTATTGCTTTTTTTGAGACAAGACCTTGCTGTATAGCCCAGGCTTGCTACAAGTTTTCAATCTTGAGGGCTTATAGATGTACATCCCTTATACCTTGTTTATTTTTATTCTTGAAATATTGGAAATATTGTTCTTTTTCCCTCTTTCTTCTTTGCCAAGATTCTGAACTTCCTATTTCTTTTTTGTAAATTTTATTTTATTGTAAAGATGCTGTACTCAGGGGTTACAGTGACAACATTTCTATTATTATTCTTTTGTTTTTCTCTTAGATTTTCTATCCTTTGATTTGCATTCTGGAAGCATTTTTTTTCTAGGAGAGTTCTTTGATCTTATCTTCCAAATGGTGAAGTTCTTACACTGTATCTGTCCTGCTATCTATCTGATCTCTTGTTTGCTGTATTCTAGTCATCTGTTTCATGATATATGTGTAGGATATTCCAATACCCTTTAAGTTAAGAACTACCTGCATTTTCTTTAAATCAATTAATTTGTGCTGCACTTCATCTTTATTCTTTATAACAATTTCTTTTCATATTGCATTTTGCTACTATCTTTTATTGTTACTGGCAGTATATGAATCATGCTTATCTTAACTTCCTACTCTGTCCATTTTAGTAGCATGATATGCTTTGCTCAATTTGTCTCTGTTCTCCCAAGATAGTTGTCCTTGCCCCATGTCCCCTATTTTCCTGTTTGAGCTTAAACTCTCTGTGGATATTGTTTATTCCAGCTGGTATAGCATTTGACAAAGGCTGAGAAGGAACTTCAGGCATTGTAGAACTACTTTGGGCTACTTTCATTAGTTCTCATGCAAGCTAACTTCTCTGACTAGAATTTCATCAGCTAGACAACTTGAATTTGGGGTCTGGGTCTAGTATCCTCTGTTTTGTCCTAGACAACACAAGGTAGAGGCAGGAGGAAAAACTGATTGCTTTCCTCTAGTTTGTTCTTTTTTCTAAGCCTCCAGATAGTCTTACCATTAACCTACAGAGGTCTATCTATCTGTAGTCATCAGCAGCCAGAGTAGCATTGAGAATCTTTCCAAACCATTTCTCAAGTTCATACCTCAATCTCATTTCTCCTGTGAACTACTATTTGGATATAAGCTCTTATTTTGAATATTTTAAGTATTCTTACTTTTGTTGTTTCTGTTGTTGTTTATTAAAGGCCATTCTACCTTCCACAAGGGAAGTTATCAGAAGGTATGATAAGCTTTTGGTGAGAGCATTTTTAGTGATTTCTTGAACACAAATCATGAAAAAAGAGAGCCTTTTGTGATATGATCTTTTTCATGTTTTCATGTCTCATTCACTAATGTGTTTCTTATTCACCATTTCATTTTTTATTTTATTTTTTGCCAGGCCTGCGGC